GATTAGATGAAAATGTATAGATGAGATGGATTGAAAGGAAAGGAAAGGAAAGGAAAGGAAAGGAAAGGAAATCAGAGTATTCGACAAGAGATGTTGAAAGATTCGGATAATATTATTTCCAGATCGAGTTCAGGTATTAGAGGCAATGAATCTATTAAATTGCTCTTCTTTTACTTGTATTCAATTTCATTTTACTTCTTTCCTTTCTTTCCTTTCTTTCCTTTCTTTCCTTTCTCTTTTTCACTTCCCCTCTCTCATTCCACTTCTTTATAGTACGAAAAGACGCGTCGCTTAATTCTCATCAAATACTCCCACGCGTCAATTTCGCGTTTCCTCGAATCTTGGGAATTTTCCAAACAATTTCATTGGATAAGCAAATCATTCTTGGCTCCAGAGTTCTTATGCTGTACTACAAAGTATATAGTACTACATCAGATATACATAAATGCTACCTACTTTGTAGGTATTTCATGCATACATCAGCTATCTTCTTTTCCTTCTACTTTTAGAAATTACATTACGGCCCAACTTCCTTTTTGGGTAGAAAAGTCCAGCCAGCTCTCTCTCTCTGGCTGTGTCTAACTCTTCATCCCATCCATTTTCCCTTTCCAACCCTCAGATTATTATGACAACAATAATATCTAAAACGCTGAACCTAGCTAGCTACACCGACATTGCGATATCACATTCTAGAATAAATCTATCCGACTCGGCAAGTCCTTGATTGTACGGTGTGTGCTCATTTTCATGGTTCATGCATGAAGGGATCAACAAGCATCTCGAAGAAGAATAAGAACACGGGATGAGATAGAGATTTACGATGGAAGGAATGTCACAACGCCAGATCCCCAGGTTCTGGCCATATCCCTGTCAGAATTTGGGGCCAAAGAGTGTCTGGTATAAGGTGGAGTGAAGAGGAGAAGATGGCATCGTCAAAATGCTGTTGCTTGGCGATACTTGATACTTCAATGCATCTGGTCAAGCTTTCAAGCATGCATATCACGAAAAGAATTTCTCGATTCATTATACACGTAATCTATATCTACATCACTTTACTCTTTACCTCAATACTATATCTTTTCTTCTGATCTAAGTTGCGTTTTATGAAAATCACTGCATGATAACAATCATTGCCAGCCATATAATCTCGATGAACCAGCTTCACATATATGCGCCACATGTATGGCTACCCTCCACTCGATTTGAGACATCAAATGCCTTTTCAGTCTTATCATGGCGTAAGGGGTAATATCATTGCAATGCATCAACGATTACTCTGTCCATTTCATTCTGTACTTCCATTACTATTTTGATCTTTGAAAGTCTCACGAATGATCAAAGATGGTCTTGTCACAACAATCATCTCAAATTTTCAAGCTGGGTTTAATATTCGTTGTTACTATCAGTCTTGGGTTCTATCTTTTTTCGGATCACGATTATCATGAGACACTTCGAGTCGCTGTGTCTGGGAAGAAAGGAATCTTCGTCCAAAAGGCTCTTCGAACAGATATTGATGGACCCTTCGATGATTCAAGTTTGGTTAACGTCTGCGACAACACGGAATGGAGAGAAGGATTGATATTTCAATGTAAAGCACCATATGGAGGAGTTGCGAACATTCGAAACATGTTACTAAACTGTGTTCGATATACCATTGAAGCTGGAGGTACATGACCCCATCCTTAGTCTTTCGTGTGCTAAACTTTGCAGCAACATCAATTGTCATCCCAGAACTCAAACTTTGGATACCTCATAATGATAGCCCAAATACACCGGATCCAACGCTAAATACCGGGCTACAAAGTAGGAAAGAGAAGGATAATACTGCGCATGTTCCTTTCTCATACCTTTTCGACCTTGATTTCTTTCAAGAATCTTTGACTGGAGCATGCCCTCGAATCAAGTTTATTCCACATATCAATGATTTGTATACAGCTCCCAGCACTCAAAATCCTCATCCACTTGATCCGAGTTCATTATCCTCAGAAAAATTAGAAGAACCATTTGAATCTCTCCTGGCCAATCCTGGCACATGGGCCAATGATTTTACCACCTGGCTGAATGAAATAAACTTTGAGTTCTCAGAAAAGCTGCCAATGCGTGTGACAATCAAGGAGTCATTGCTACATTGGCCATTAAAATACGATAATTCTGACTTTGTTTCTCAATTTGGACGACTAATTCGACTCAATCAAGAAATTCGCACTCTAGCCTCAACAGTCCTTTACGCACTTTCTCAGAAACATAATCTTCGATTCAATGCTAGTGAAGGAATACAAGATGAGATGTACTATGGTGCACATCTTCGAACAGGCGAAGACGCTAAAGCAGCCAATTGGACCACTGTGGAAAAGCAAACTCAAAACTATCTTCAAGCATGCAAGCACAATAAACTTCGAGTAATTTATCTCTCCTGCACCTCTGAAACCGATATCAAACGCTTCACCTCTCTCGCTCATAGTTACACTACATATCATATCTACGTCGCTACAGCCGCTAACCTACTAACTCTTCATCCCAAAGATCTTGCAATCTACACTTCTCTCTCCTCCCCGCAACGCTCTCTCATCGACTATGAAGTCCTTCTCAAATCTTCCATCTTTGGCGGTACTCTCGAATCATCATATTCTTGGAACATAGCACTTCGTAGACATATTGTATGGGGAAATGGAACATGGATCCCACAAGTTGAAGACTTTTTGTTTGATCGGGGAGAAGTGGTCAAGGATCAAAACGAGAAAGATGCGGGTGCAATAGGGGGACCGGTGGGAGGGTATGGAGGAGGTGGATTTCAGAGTTTTAGAGATGGGGCGGCGGGGGTGGGGATGGACGGGTTGGGGAATCCGGGGAAAGGGGGGTATGGGTTGAGTGTGGTTTTTGGGGATGCGTTGAGGGGGCAGGAGTGGGAGAGGGGGTTATGGCCTTGAGAGGGGGGGGAGGGTTGTTCTCCTAGGGAGGTGGGAAGATAGTTGGGTTTTTGTGTTGGAGATCAATTGCTAATCACTTTTGTTCTATTCTGGATATGTTTTATCTGGTAATTGTGGCTTGGTGATAAATTTCATCTTTCATCTAGAGAATTTTGAGTGTTGTTATAAGATTACATGATTTCTAGTCAAATTACTTTATATGTTAGCTACTCACTGCAGTTCCACACAATACAATTTTCATCAGCGAGCTTTATTTTGCAATCTTTTCCTACATGATGTTGTTCTTCTTTTGTTCATTTGGGTTACAGTTTCTTTATCGGGTTGCTCTGTTTGAATGTGTTAACTTATAGTTATATAACCTTTTCCTTTGTTCTCGAATATCTCACGGTAATGTTCATTCATCATTCACATGGGCAGGGCGTCACAGTCAATTTTCAAATGTGTATCTTCATATCTGTTTGTGGAAAGAAATTTCTTATTTTTTATCATTTGAATTTTCATACAAAATCGCAAGTTATTCCCAAACTAGAGTACTAACTCCACCATCCACATGCAACCTCTTCCTCCTCCTCATCGTCTCCGAAACTCAACCCCACGAAAATCTACCCTCTAAAGAAATCTCCTCTCTCCTCTACATCATCAACCACCAAACCCCAATCCCCAAAAGCCCCATCCCCACCATCTCCCGCACACACCTCACCCACGTCTCACCTCTCATCCGCTCTTCCCGCATCCCCGCAATCTCTCTTCCTTGTTCCGCGAGCCTAAATTCGAGAACTTGCATTCGCGCGTCGAGATTGTCGAGGTGGTGGTGGTGGAGTGAGGTGTTGAGGGTTTGTTGCTGGGATTACCGGTGTAGGGTGTCGATGCGGGGGGCGGCGACGATGATCCAGGTTGTGAGGGCGGAGAGGACGGAGAGGGGGTGGTAGGTTTGTTGGGGAGGGGGTTGGAGGTGGGGGGAGGTGGGTGTGGGTTGGGGTGGGACATTTTTGTGGGAAAGGGGGGATGGGGGTGAGTGTTTGTGTGTGTGGGGGGGGGGGTTTACTTTTTGTGCTGTTTACTTTTTTACTTAATTACTGTGCTGTGTTGTGGAGAATGTATAGCTTTGTAGGTAAGTAGAAAAGAAGTGAAGTGTGAATCCGAGGATATACTGAGGAAGAAAACATTATGAGGGTAGGGAATTGTGGGTTTTGTATCTCCAGATTTGGGTTGTTCATTTCCTGTACGAGATGTTGAGTATGATGGGAAATGACGCTTTCGGGAAACTGGGGGATTGGAATTTTTTGTGCAACTGTTGTGGAATAGGTCGGGAATAGGTGTGGATTAGGGGTTGGGTTGTTGTAGTATTGTTTAGGGTGTTGGATTTCTCTGTTTGGTCGGCGTTAATTATGTTATGAAGTCAAGTTAGAGTTTGAGATGGTTTTTTTTCTATAGCATTTTGGAAGGTTGAATGATTGGTTGTTTGGAGATATAGTGGTGTAGTATACTTTTGTGGGATTAGGCGATACGGGGAGGGAAGGTTTCGATTTTTGGGGTTTTGAGAAGGGAGAAATTTGAAGGGAGAATATTAGCACGGTTCTGTTGATACTGTGAGATTGAATTTTTGCAATATCCGTTGATCGAGGAATATGTACGATCGAGGTCACAATATGGTTGAAATTGACTGTTAATGTGGGCTGAAATTTAGGTGGATCATCCATCTATCTTTGTGAGTTTGAAAATTCTGTTTCATTGGTTTATTGGAATGAGATGTATATTAGAAGTGTATTACCAAAGATCTTTCCTCGGGTTCTCTCTTGTATAATTTTACAAATTTCATTTACTGATGTTGCTATTTAGTTTATCAGATCGTCTAATCAAGTCACGTAAAGCTATGAACTTCAGAATTTCCGACTTTTAGTCACGGTATTTGTATCGAAAATGCTGTTTATACGGAATTTGTTATCACTCGATGGTTTTTTGTCGTTTTTTTTATTTTAAAAAAAATTCTATTACATCTAGGAAACTCTATCTAGGCAGTGATCAAAAGCACACTAAATACGTAAACCGCATCTCCAAATTCCCAGCCTCTCCTCAAATCCCCTCAACCCCCGCAATCTTCAACAAAAGCCAAAGCAGCGAAAAAACCATCCTCGTCACCACAATCACCAAAGTAACCTTCAACAACCTCACAAACTCCTCTAATGTTACCATTTCCCTCCGAACCGCTCTCTCCCTTACCGTTGCATGCCCTTCCTCACGTCTCCTATCAAACTCCGTCCAAAGCATCTGCATCTGCGTTTGAAGTTGTTGGTTCTTCATCTCGAGAAGTGCGATTTGCTCGGTTTGTTGAGAAAGTTGGGGGGTGTGGTCTAAGATGGGGTTGATGAATTCGCGCATTTGAGTGCGCAGGAGGAGGAGCTCGGTTAGTTCGGCGCTGGTGGCGACGGTTTGGGTTATGGGGGGGGAGGAGGAGGGAGAGGAAGGGGAGGAAGAATGAGTGTAGGGTGGTGGGGGTGGGTTGGTGTGCATGTTTGGGTTGGGATGGGTTGGACTAAGTTTACGGAGTGGCTTAACACTAGGAGTTACTTAGTTCAATGCTGTGGGGTGGGCGTGAGTGGTAGATTTCTCTATGCTGCAGGAGAAAGATATCAGAATGGAAAGGACCATTAAGAACTTATAGTTATGAATTTTGTTGTTCAGGTATTGTTGCTGACTTGTTTACTCGAAGTGTTCTCTGGCAATTCGAGCTTTGATATCATAATGGACAGTTTCCCAACTCAATTGTAAAGTGTAATGCGATAATTTCAACTGATATCATGATCTTTCTGATGATCGCCTCGAAAATATATCTCGTTTATAATATCTTTCTTTGCTTGTTTCGCTTACATTCGTTTCCTCTCCTGTTGTGAGATCTTACATCGCCTGTGACGAATAACACATGACATTGTGATTACTCATCACCCATACCTTAGTTCAAGACTAGCTTGAACTAAGCGATTGTTACTATATAAGAGATACAGAGATCCCTTAGTCTCTCTTCAGCTTTCTTATTCTAGTTGTTTGACCTCTATCGATATTCTCTAGTATGTGATCGTAACATCACCCACCTCAATATAACCTTAACATATGAATGATGTGTATTCTCGGAGATTTTCCAGCAAGAAGATCGAATCAATGACATTCAGTGCTTCAGTCGTTCTTCAGTGTCAAAAAAAGGAGTCGGTTATAGGCTTCTACAGGAAATTCCTTGCTATTTTCATATTCCTTTGTTAGTTCACGTAAACAGACATCATATCTACCAAAATCACCTATGCCAAGTAGATGATGAAGATTAACAAAACAAGAATACAACATGTGATGTATGTGAGTATTCCGGACATCAATGGACCTTTCGTGTAGGCAAGTATTACAATGAATGGCTTGATTGGGCCTTACCGACTTGTTTCGTGCATTTGCATCATTTTCCTGCGTGACTTGTATGTACTTTGCTCGCGTCTTGGTTTTTTCTCTGCACCTTGAGTCTTCTCAGGATCTTTGTCGTTTTCACAATGGGATTCTGTGTGTGAGATCATGAATCTGATTCTGTAGAATTGTGAATGGAGAAGGAAATATTGAACAGCTTCAACTTGTGTCTTTGAGCTTGTTTGTATTCTCTTCCTGGTCGCGGAGCTGGTTCATTGGTGGAATGGTGGAAGAAGAATGAGCTAGGTATATAATTGCGAAATAGTCCTCATATTAAGTCATGGAAATTGTTCTTTGTTCGTGAAGATTGGAGGAAATCTCAGTATTGATATTATAATGTGTTTCCAGGAGCCTGGATATAGATATGAGAGTATTTAATAATAAAGATATCTCGTTTAAATACTTCATCAAATGAACGAGGAAAATACCTAGGCTTATTTCACAAATTGTTAATGTCTCGTTAATCATCTAACATCTTTGAAGTCTCGAGTAATTCCATGTTACCCTCTCTCCGAGATAACACTCATTCATGTCACAAAAAGTTTGTTTGGAATTTTGCACCAACACACATTCGGCACAGAAATTAACGTAATTATAAATTTCAATATATTCATATTAAAAAATTGTGGGAAAATTCTCCAAGCTTTTGAAACGTGTCCACAGTATCTCAATCAACGCGCATAGCTGATCAGGATGGGAAACGAAAAGTAAGATCTTACAAGAAGAGCTTCTAATACATTTTTAACGAAATTTTCGGCTCCCGAAAAGAAAGAGTGGCTAAGAATGGAAAACATAAGAACCGCAAGGAGTATAGAGGCCGGATTAATGTATCTCTGGACCGTTCCATTGTTTTTTCTCGATGGCTTGTGTGGGTCTGTTTCTTGTGGTGTTTCTAGGGATTCATCCTGTGCTCGTGGAAGTGTATCGCGCTCTGGGATAGGTTTCTTTGGGTTGCTGACAAGGTTCTCGGAAGTTTCATACTCGGATTTTGGGTGTTTCTTTTTTGGCTGCGTTGACCTCTCCCATTCAGAGAGAAAGTCCCAGTCGGTAAATTCTAGTGTTGGTCTTCTTCGATGGGAAGAGGTAGGCGAGGATACCCGTTGGTATTCCTGGCTATTGATTACTGATCCTGTTGGGCATCTTCGTACTCGTCTATCTGTTCCAGCAGATTGTGCAAGATATTGAAAATATTGAACTTCAGCGTTCATGGTTGCGGTTTTGGTGAGCAATTGTGCTTTCTATTAGAGACTTTTTGCAGAGCATTAGAGTTATTTATATTTCCAGGCACTTCTTGCTCATGATTCTATACAATGAATAATGAAAATCTTTGTTGGTTACTTAAAGAAAGATTCAATATCTTTGTTTGAATGATTTTGAGAGTGAAAGAGAATATCTTTGTCGAGCGGGATCACAAAGAAAATGACTATTGAGCTGGAGAAATGCAAATTGTTTATTTTTGGATGAAGAACAAGATTGTATCTCATCAACAGAGACAAATATCCTAATTCGAGACAAACAACAAAGGTACCTTTTATAATGTGAGAATGGACTATGATACTCGACAGTCCAAAACCAAGTAATGAGCTCTATTGTATGATTCAAATGATTTGAATAAAATTTGTCAATCACAAGATTGACAACTTCCTCCGAGTATGCCAATACCTTTGGCTTATTACTTCAATAACGTTGAAGACCGGAGACCGCGCGAAAGTGCTTCCGTCTTTCGTGCGATCAATATCTTCTATTGAAATGAAACAGTCACAAGTAAAAAATTGTAATCGGTAGATTGCGGTTCAGAGAAGATGTAAAAATGATATAGTTGAATATCAGACACGTGGAATTATTAAACCAAATTATTCAAGAGCGGAGGTAACTAGACTAAAACCTCTCGTTTCGAACATTGCATGATTTCGATTTCATCTGAAGTTTCAAGGGGAAACTGGGATAGGTTAAAGAATATCATTGATACTCGCAAAAGGAAGCGACGGAATCCGAGAACAATAGACGAACAATCCCGCCGAAATACATTACATGAACTGAATCCCCTTTGTTCGAACTTCGAATCTTTCTTCACTAACTATTAGAAATATTGGATCGGCTTACATACTCACAGAAAAACTCAACCTAGCTAACAGCTCCATCCACAAAGATGTGTATCTCAATCTGCCATGCGCATACTTGTCCACATCTGTCCTACATCAATCATCTTTGCGAACCTAATGCCCACCCTCCAACTTGTCCATTCCGCAAAGAAGAAATAAAACACTTAGGAAGGAAATGCGTTCGTTGTTTGAAGGAGGAAGGAATCTATATCCAAAAAGAATCTCTTCAGAAAGCAAAGACAAGAAGACTCAGTGAAGCAGCCGCAATCAGAGAGGGTACAATTCTTACTCTTAAGATATTGGAGCAAGCAGATGAGTTTGTTAGAGAGGAAAAGAGACAGAATATGATGAGAAGGAGACACACGGAAAAAGTTGATAAGACGCGCAAGTGTGTGATTATGTGAGGGATAATGAGTTTTGAGGAACCGAGATCGCTGGTATGAACAGGTCTCTTTATGAACGCACACCCATCAGACAATTGTATCCAAAAACTCTCACCAATTTTATTGTAATATAACTATTCCGACAAGAATTGAACCCTCTTTGACCAAAACGTGTTATGATACCAAATAAATAACTAACAGAAGACTAGATTGTGACTAGATCGAAAGGTCCTGGGTATTAAGCGAAATGCCCCTGGACTATTCCTGATGTGTCAAATAGCTCAGTAAGATCCCCAATCTAGGTATACATGTGCAATACCACTAAAGCGTGCATGTTAGCTGCCTCGGCTGCCTAGAATAGAGGGAAAGAGGGATTAGTAGTTTGAAAGTGGGGTTCCGAAGTTCAACCGATCAACGACGGAGTCTTCGTGTGCTTTTACAAGAAGTTCATATATTGATCATCATCTGTGGAATATCATTGCTAAATACCAAGAGATTATTCTGATAGTCATCCCAAACTCCGGCTTACATCGGATCCACGGTCCGCAAAAGCGGGGTAGAAAACACGTGTTCTGTTCCCTTACTCGTTCTATATCGTGACTACTATAAATGGATAGAAATGATATTTGGTTGTCTAAACCAATCGAAGTTTGACTCTCTCAGAACAGTGGTGCGATCGGACATCATAAATACTACACACCTACGAAATACATCCAATTCTGCAACTTCTTCAACAACAATATGTCTCCCACTAAAGAAGCCTTCACCATAACTGCCTCTCCATCCACCGATATCTGGCGCAAACCTCCCACCACCGATGCCTTCAATGCACCCACCAATATGGCTTCGGCAATACCTCTCACCTCATTCCTCTCTTCCAAGATTACATTTTCGCTCCCTTGCAAATATCGCTACGACCAAGGTGGTCTTCTTCTTCATCTCACCAAAGCCGGTTCCAAAGATCGCTGGCTGAAGACTGGAGTTGAATTTTATAATGGCAAACCATTTGTGAGCACTGTTGGATGTGATAATTTTGCGGATTGGAGTATCTATCCGACAGGGCTCGATGCAAGTAAAGACGTGGAGGTTACAGTCGAAGTGAGGAGAGAGGGGGATGAGAATGGAAAAGGTCTTTGGGTTTATTGGATCAAAGGGGAAGAGAGAATACCGCTTAGAGAGGTGGCGTGGTTTTTTGCCGATGAAGAAGATTGGGAGATTGGAGTTGGAGCGATGGCTTGTAGACCTGCTAAAGCTGAGGCTACTAACGGAGAGAGTTTAGAAGTCAAATTCTGGGATTTCGAATTGAAACAGAATTGATTATTGAAATTTTGCGGGAGATGCAATCAAAAGTTCCAGGCACGGAAGCTGGAGACAGCGAAGAAAGATGAATGGATTGTGAAGAAATGGGATTGTTTTTGGTCTCCTATGATGAGTATCACACTACATGCGAATCAGTAACATCAAGAGCAAATACCAAAATGAGAAGTCCCGGAGACAGACCTGGGATCATATTAGTTTCTCCTCGAACCGTGAAAACTCTGATATTTAAATTCCTCCTTACGACAGTACCTCAAGAGAGAACAACTAGTGTTGACATTTGTATTCATCCTGTCAATACACAGTTTGGAGCACCGACATACATTTCAATTTCCAGTGCCACCCACCCAAAAGTGCACTTACAATTTTTGCCCATGTCTGCAGTATGATGGATATTGCATTGTTTTTGGTTATCATTTCCGAGTTTATTACACGGAAAACAAGCTCAACATACACGAACAGATCTAGAACAAATCCAGGACAATCCCACACACCTAGTATATAAGCTCCCCACCCTCCAAATGATAATCTATCCCCAAGCCTCTTGACTCTCACCTCAAACTGCAAAAATAAACTGCAGAACAAACACCCAAGAGCCAACCCCAACCCCAACGCAAAGCAAAGCAAAGCAAAGCAAAGCAAAGCAAAGCAACGAAAGCCATCATGTGTACAGAAATTTGCACTCAATACGTTGAATGCGGCTGCTGCGTAGTCCACACCAATCACTGCCCTTTTAAATACTTACACAACTGCCCAATCCAAGAATGTCCAACCTTTCGCTGCACATTCCGTCGCAAGCCGGGTAAGTGCTATAATTGCGAGCGTAATCTCCCGCGAAATTGATTGAGCTTTATTTTGACAATTTCTTTCTCTTTCTTTCTTTGTTTCCTTTCTTTTCTTTCTTTATTTCTTTTTGGGGTTGAGATGAGAATAGGATAAGGAGATCGCATGTTCGAGGGGGTGGTAAGCGAAGAACAGATAAATACGTGGGTAGTTGCTGAGAAGTATCTACTATGTAGCAGTACGAAAAAATACTAATAATAAAAAATTCTTAAAAAACTTTGATTATGAACAAATTTCCCGTGATAGAATTTGATGTGATAAATATGATATTGATAATAAGTCATGAAGTGGCGACACCGAGATCAATAGAAGATCGAGAAATGCGGGGTGTCCAAAAAATCATCAAAAATAAAAACATTGTTTTGAACTTATTCTCCAATAATTTGAATTTCATTTCTACGACAGGAATGTCAATTTCCAAGATTTCACACGAACATAAGAAATCCATCATTTCCAAACAAGCTCAAAACAGACTCAGAACGACCCCCTCTATCTGAAATATAAAAACATACCCACATCTCGTCTCAACTAAAGTCTTTCTCCTCCAGGAAAATCAAAACTTATCAAACCTACTCCAACATCATCTTCGCAGAAAACCTTAGCGCTCTTTCCAAATCGACCACGTGCGGTGCCAACGCAAAACAAAATTTCTACCATTGACACTATTTTTCCAAGCCACTCTAGCCATCTTCCCCAATCAACCCAGTGATCAACCCAAGCCCAAAAATCAAAATGTGCCACGATCAACACACCATCCATATCTCCTGCATGCATTCCTCCACCCACATGCAACACTGTGCTCAAGCCCCTATCAATCCATCCGACCACACTCCTGACCCATCTCGTTGTTCCTTCTACTGGCTTTCCATCGTTGAGAAACGTAATTTCTGTGCTGTTTGTAGGAAAATTCGATGGATTCGAGTGACTAGATTAATGAGACGACGAACGGAAGGAGGTGGAAGGGATGGAGAGGAGGGTTCGTCAACGGGGTGTGTGATTTTGTGAGGAGGGGGGACCTTGAGAGAATGGGAGGGGAAAAGAAAGGTATGTGGATGTGATTTGATAGAAATGATGTTTACTCTGTTTCTGAATTTTCCATTCAATTTTCCGCCTTTTGAATAGACTGAGAATGAAAAATGAGAAAAAGAAACGTTAACCCTGAAAGTAAAACTAAACAAATCATTGTGATTCGCAATGGTGACCTGACTCAAAAAATGCAATGCATAGGCACTGTTAGTATGTGTTATATGATATCAATAATTAAACATGCGTTCCAAACTCCTAAATCTATCCGAAGAAAAGGAGAAAAACAAAGTAATCTAAACTCGCACCTTGAGAGCAGTCTTATCGAATACGTGGTTCCTTGTCTCAAACGCTGCGTATAAATCATCAATCTCAGCTTTATAGATGTTTGTACAAATAGATCTAACGATAGTTCCCTTGGCAGCCCTTTCAAACATCTTATTCTTCTTCGCGACGAGAACTAGCTGTCGCTCAACTCGAGCATGTTCTGGTACCGTGTCGTTAGCTTTTTCCACGTCCGGCCATACTTTTGCTACCAAATCTTCCTCTAGCAACGTCGAATCTTCTTTGGGTTCTAGTAAGACCCCACAACGAGTTCTGTTTGTCCCGAACACAAGACAGCCGTTAAGTAGTGGGTGAGATTGTAGCAGAGTCTCAATGTGCACAGGGTTCACTTTGGATGCATTGGAAAGAATGATTAGATCATCAAGTCGATTTTCGAACTTCCAAAGTGGGCCGACTCCATCCGGAAGTGGACCCTTGCAACGACGCAAGATGTCCCTGGTCCTCCACTGAGTCTGATCAGGTGCCATGTGAAAAACAGGTTGCGCCCAAGCAAGGGCTGGATCATTGTATTTGTTCAAGACTACTTCGCAAAGCGTAGAATCAGAGCTCACTGGCTCTAATTCCGGTAAAAACTGGGGGTGGAATTCGAGATGTGACCAATGTGATTTGGGTGGCACAAGAAGGGGTAACTGGGCGGATTCAGTCGAACCGAAAATCTGCCACAATACTGCGTCGGTATTGCGGATAATGAAGTCCCCTGTTTCCTGTGATAGTGGGCCTAGATTTTGATTAGTAACACATCTAAGAGCGGACTGCAGGAACTATTCTTACCTCCAAGCCAGGAAACATGTTTTAAAGCAGCGATTTCGTCTTCGAGGCCCTCGCTATGATTCAAGAACAATTGCTCTATAATACTCGGAACCTCTATTGGTCCTTGAATTGGAAGAGCCTTCATGATATCATGAAGTATTTTCCCACTAGACGGTTCATTCGGTGGGCCACGAACCAATGTCGAACCTAACATGATCGTTGTGAATGCCATGCCGAGTCCAGATGCGTGAGAGAAGCTGCACCCACTCGAAAGTAGTTTGTACTTTTCTACAAACTTGAAGCCTGCAATTGCTCGTCCGGGTACATCAGGTAACAATACACTGTTGTTGATGAAACCACTTAGGTACCCATGGCTGCAATTCTTTGGCTTTGGTGCACCTGTAGAACCCGATGTATGAATGATTAATGCAAGCTCATCTTTATTTGTATCCCAATTCTTCGTGTAAGGGTACGGCTTGTTTTTTGTGGTTATTATTTCCTGTAGCGTCGGTATTTCGTGCTTTTCCAATGTTGGAAGTACCTCTAAAATTCGCGCAGCAAGTTCTGAATATTGCGTCGCGTAGAAAAGTTTTGTACTCTTGGTCACCTTGAGCAGCGAAACTGTGTTTGCTAACGCATTCCCAGCCCTTGGTAAAAGTAAAGGATTTCCAGTTTTCATACAAGCAATCTCAATAATCGGATAGCGGAAGTCCTGAGAACCAATAAACGCGAAAGTCTCGGTCATTGCAGATTTAGATTTATTAGAATCGACCCAATGAGCTAGGAAGTCCACACCACGCAAGAACTGTTCAGCATTGACTTCGTTGAACCCCTCGGATATGTCAGATGTCTTGGCCACCATTGCCACGATTCTTTCAGGATTTTTACGTGCCTCTTCCTCAAGAATATGTGGAATGAGCCTGGAAGCACGGTTAAGTTCTGCATCGGGGGGATATCTCTCAGAGTTACACGAAACCTAGTAATCGCTCTTCATACTTTCCATGATTTTTGTTGCTAAGGCCATGTTGGATGATGATGCTTCGAATCATTATAAAAAGGAAATACAGAGGATGTCCAGATATATGTATGTGTCCTCGACAACATTTTGTTTGATAGGTATTCATGATTCGCATAGATTTCCGGAACGGAACGGGAAAGCTTCATACTTGAATGCAAGCACATCTCTTTTCATTGTAACGAACGATATTTTCATATTGCGAATGATCACAAGTACGTAGCACATCCGCACTACAAAGTAAACTCCGAATCTGACTATTAGAAAACGACTTCGATTACAGCCAATAACTGAAGGGCTGTTATATTTCATGGGAACTATCACATACTTTATTCTCGTTCGAGAATAGCAACGACAGATTTAACGATATCTTTGCGATAAGAAGTTAGGTACTGCAAATTGAAGGTATGTCTCACGACCTGTACGATACGCAATACTTGTGCGTCGGATGAGCAATGTTGAATCACCTGCGTACCTGTGAGAGTCAATACTGGTTGTCTCAAAAGCGCTCATCGTATTATGTGCTTCCTTACTTTGCAGTAGTCTCCGAAGCGATGAATCTGAGGAGTTCTTTCCGCGCCCCCCTAATAAACATAGAAAGGTTCATCTGTCAAGTTAGCACCTGTTCGAAGTAAACCCCCGAACCTATGCCAGTGATCATCTGGTATAGTTCTTCTCTCAATAGCTAAGAGCCGTTGACTATAGATCGTTAGTTGGCCAGGGCATTCAGTTGGTAGGTGAAACCCTTCTAATGTCAAGGACTTCGGTAGCGGCATCTTGTCAATACCTTCCGTTCAGATCAAGTAGAAATAGCCTTGAAGGGCGACAATGTGTCTTGACAACAACTTTTGAGTCGAGCTGATAGGCGTCCTAGTGTCACACCGTGCTGAAGATATCAGATGGATGTCAAGATAAGATTTGACGTACAGTCAGCAATTCCTCAGGCTCATTCGGCGACCCTAAAAATATATCGCCGACCCCAAAGAACATCATTCCTTGTACCCCACAAAATGGAGCCCGAGCAAAAGTTTAATGAGCTATTAGGTACTGGTATATAATAAGAATAAAGAACAGTCGCAACGTTACGGAAAAAGATTTCAATCTGTAGAAAAACAGACCAGTACTTGACACTTCAGTCCGCAGCAACCAGATTTATCTTACAATGTGTAGACAAGCAAGCTGTACGACCTGCCGTATGTTTCTCACCCCGCCTTACTCTTATCTTACATCATACTAACACCGGCGGTGCGGCAGAGAAGGAAACTTGGTTTGGCTGCGGTCAACATTTACCATCCGCCTTCTCTTCGATTCCTGTCGATGAACAATGTACTTGCATACCAAAGTTTGAAAAAGACGGGGTCCAGTATCCACCGAAAGTTGGTACCGGCACAGCACAGGGTGCCGGAGAGGAGGGGGATGTTGTCATACACGACTTGAAGCGCGATACATGACTAGCCGATCTGCTGAAGATTTCAGTACCGGTTAGCTTAGGGGTTATGGTTTGGATTTGGTGGTCTTAAATATCCTACGGGACACTAAGCTAGGTGGTGTTAACGTTTGGCCTCAATCTTTGCGGGTTCCCAAAGCAGGGTGCAGTCGATCTGGTATGTAAAGGACTGGCGGATTGGATAGTGTTTATCATAAGTGACCTCCAAGTGGTTAATACAACCGCTTCTCAATCGCAACAATGTGCTATGCGGGCTCGCGCCTCCTGAACGTGTTTTGGCAGATATATGTCTTATTTAAAGCGCGCCAAATTTGAAACCCGTTTCAAATTACAAGTGTTTCTAGAGAATTGGGAATTTCCGTTTCGTGTATTCAGGAGGAGGCAACGCTTCTGAGATTGAACGATACGCGACGCCTGTGACTTCTTCGCTAATATCTTCTCCTTGCGAAACTTGCATCGAGTAAGCGACATGAGGACACTCACCTATGTATGCTCCTAAGTCTTGTCCAACTCACTTTTCATAAGAATCATTGAGAATATTCACTGTATCACTAGCCCGTTTCTCATACATAATTCGCGCCCCGTCAAACTCTTTTCGCAAACCATTCTCAAACTTTACAATCACAAAGGAGTGTGGTCTGGCTTCCCATTTGATCCCGATCTCACAACGAATCTTGCCCAAACTCAACTCGACGACGGTCAAACATGGATCTCAATCGACCTCTTGGGTGAGTCAACGACTACCTCGACAGATTTTGATATTTTCAGCTTAAGCTGACATTTTGATTAGAGACAAGATCAATATCAATACGAACGACTCTCAATACTATGTCCACGCAGAATTATTGCGCAGAAACCCGAAATTTTTCGATATCTACGAACACAGAAGTGTCATGACCATAGATGTAGGATCTGAAGTGTTTGAGTCCTTTGTTCAGTGGCTCTATAATCGAGATCTCTTCAAACATCCAACTGGTGGCGTCCAGTTGATTCTAGGACTATGGTTCTTTGCTGCTAAGATTTCCTGCCTAGAGCTTCAGAACTACGCCATGGATTGGATTCAGGATTACCATCAAGATGAACGGATGGAGGATTCGGATCTAAGATATGTTTTCGAGACGATCAAGAATGACTATGAGTATACTGCTTTAGGGGACTTCTGTGGTGCTATGCTTCGCAAACGAAACTCTGAGTACCAATTCACGGCTGTACATAGATTTCTTCAAGCAGTTCCAGGCGCTCTTGGTCCATATATTTTCTATGAAAGTTTGTGCGACGACATCGACGAGCTGCGCTCCGACCCCACACGCCGAGACAAGATTCATCTTTGCCGATTCCATATTCACAACTACAATGACAAGATCTGCGGGTCCAAACCAAATGTTCAGTAGCATCTGAGCTTGTGTTTCATTGGTGAATATCTTTGCTATATTTTTCTCCTGCTGCTTACTTCTCTTGACTCTCTTTGCTGACCCATCCTGAGAGTCTTTTGATGGTCTCGAGATCCTGTCAAAAGTCTCGAGATTCGCTACAACTTCGATGACCAATTTCAAGCAGCTAGTTTGATCGATCCATACTGCTATGGAAAGGCTTTTATTCATCTGGTAGATATAAAAGCAATGAAAGACATCATCAAGTTTCCAAATTCATTCATCGATTTCCATGCATCGAATCTGTGAAAGTACTTCTCTCTAGCAGTCCTTTTCTACTCCATCTTCTCAGAACCAATAATAGTGACTCACAAAACCGCCTCACTGCGCATTTTGCATCGAACATTCATAGTATAGGTGAAGGTTTTATGCCAGCTTCGATGGGGGCGTGCTTTGCACACGTTGTTCTAGAGCCTGTGCTATAGATTCATTTTTCGTTTATCTCCTCCTTTCTTTACCTCTTTCTCTCTTTTTTTATTCGTTATCTTCTTTCCTTTTCTAGAGAGAGTGGGAGTGATGCTTCCCCCAGCGCCAAAAAGCTCGTTGCCTGCTACTAATGAAACACATAAACAGCGTAGCCATATAGTCTGACCTAGTGTAACAGAAAACACTATCATAGCATAAAATACAAAGCTCTCGGCGTGATGATTCTCTCGCAGCCTATAAAACATTAGAAACAAACACGCACTCAGTCCGCTCACCTTTGACGATGGCTAATATTCACTTTATTAATCTACACTAGCGTTCTGTTCTTTAAGCGATCTAAAATTTTCCACATATAATTTCTTTCGTTTTTCAACTTCAGGAGGATTTGTTGTTTCCTGACAATCAGTGACCTTCTGGGGAATCAATCTCAAGAGGACGAGAGAATGGAGGACTACAAGTAAGTGCTTAATCTCTTTTCCCTCTCAACGAGCTCCAATCCACGCAGTCCAAACTTACAACGAACGAATAGGGATACAATCTGGATCGATATTATCGGAAACTCCTACGCTGTCAAAGAGGAATTATTGCTTAAGGATATGAAATTTTTCGACGCGTTTCCATACAAAAAAACAATTCAGGTCGCGGAGGGAGCTAAGACAATCGACTTTTTGTTCAATGGCTCTATTCCCCAGGACGGTTCTTCAAGGTGCCAGAAATCATGACAGTGCTGGAATTATGGTTGTTTGCCGAAAAGATTAAGTGCATAAAGCTCCAGAACTATAGCGTGAATTTCATTCAAGAGTACTATCTTCAGGATGCTGTGTTCATAGATTTTATTGACCTGAAATACGTTGCTGGCGCCACGAAGCACGACTACGCTAGAGATAATCCTCTACGGAAATTCTGTGCTTTACAACTTCACTACCAGAATAACAATGGAGAGCACGAAGCCGTTCACCAGGCTATCCTTAATTCGTCGGATATAATTAATCTATATCTCGAATATGAAGGCACGTACTGGTTGGACTCCGAATTTGACCCCAGAAGTCGTGGAATTAATTTTTCTTGCGAATTCCACGTTCACGATGACGATGAAGATCGCGAGGATTGCCAAATAAAGCTCGAATAATGTAACTATCCAGCTTACGATTAGTCTGTTTATCTCCCCATATGTATTACTATTACCTATCTTCGGCAGAAAGCGTTTGCTGACTTTTCGTTTCAGTTTTCTAGACTTCGAAGTCAGTACACACCGACACAACTTGATTTCTTTCACAAAGTTCGACAGTACCACGCGCATTGAGTCTAAATTTCATCATATTGTTTAATGAGAGCGTCAGCCAGAGATGAGGGTCGGTGATGGGTCATGGAACGCTACACTATCGCGGCGCACTGAGAAATATCCTCTTGCGGCCTTCAAGAATCCTATGAGACAAATCATATGGTCCTCAGGATGATTGGATAATGAAAGTATTACCAAACTCTCTAAAATAAATGGAATAACTCTGAAGCGCCAAACATTTGATAACTATCCTTCCAGCCTGTCTAACTCCATATCCCATAACTACCCATCCAGATTCCACCACTTCCCAAAACACTAATCACAATCCAAAAAAGTCATTAACCCCACCAATATTTTAACAATTGTAATTCAAATAAACACCCCGAGCACCCGCCCCATTCAAAGCATTAACATACTCAGTCCAGCTCACACTTCCCTGTCCCCGAACCCAATCCGCATATCTAAACACAAACGCCAATCCCTGTCCACTACCCCCATTGCAAGCCTGAGTATTAATCACAACACTCTGTCCGCTCGCAGGAGTGACAGAGCCGAAAATACCAGAATTGATTTTGGGACTGATGTTGTTGAATGTTGGACCGCTGGGAAGAGGTGTGGAGACGGTAAAGACGTCGAGAGCTGGAGAAACGCCGGTGATGGATGGTGTGTAGTCTGAGGGGAAAGTGAGGGTAAGAGAACAGCCGTAGGATCCGGCTGGGAGAGGAGGGAAGGAGATCAGCTCCCAGAATTGGTTGGAAGGGTTACCTAGGAGATGAGTTAGCTGGTATTCATGATAAATTTTGGGAAAGGTAGGCCTACCATTGGCATCAGCGTCCTGGCTAATCTTAACAGAGTTATCTGTGTTCCATGTATTTGGGTATACAGTGTTGGGATTCGCCTTGGAAAGCTGGACTAATTGATTTGGGAAGAGTTTTGTGCCACAAGTACGTTTTTCGTTCAAGGCTTCTGAGACAGGAGAAGCTTGTATGAAGCTTGTCGCTCCGATGAGAAGGGAAATAACAGTTTTGGAAAGCATGTTGAATTAAAGACCACTTTCAAGTGAAGTTCAAGAGTTATGATTGTTTGTAAAGTTCTTAGACTGTGAGTGATGATATTGATGATGATGATGATGATGATGATGGAGAGAAAACAACATCTCCATTGATGCAAAAACATCATTATATACCCAACCACCAAAAAGTAACCTGATACCACTATCATCAACGGCTGAGATAAATCATATGACGATCTCATGACTTTGCGGACGGATACTAAGAGGCTTGCTACAGGTGCTGATTTACACAAGGCTGACGCAATACGAATTCTTCATCAAGCTGAAAACATCATACGATTGTCATGATTGTCATCTTGACATGATGATATTAGCAAAGTGGTGAGAGCAAATGTCTCTCATTTCTTTGTAGAGATAGTTTTTGTGACAAATTTAATGATTGATGTATGTAGTTGTGTGACTACAGTCGGGTTGGACCACTAGTGAGAGTCGCGGGGTAAGTGCTTGGCAGCTGCAAGGGAATGAGATTTTGGGGATTTTGGCTTGAGCAATGAGGCTGATGTGAGCCGTTTTTGGAGGAAGGTAAGCAAACAACAAACATTTTGTTGTCGGTGTAGTGAGTTTGGAGGGTTTTGATTTGCTGACCCGAATATAAAGGCTGATAGTTCGATGATAATCTGAACCCCCTTTCTCATAGCCTCTCGGTAAGCGAGACAGTTGACGAATTCCTATTGCAGTGCCAAGGTAGTTTCCCATGGGGCTCGTTTACTAGTAGGTAGAGGCGCAATGTATTTCTTCATTTTAGTAGAATCGTGATTTGCCCAAGGGCTGAGTACATTCAACATTGCCCGAGGAATTTTCGTTGATCTGTACAGCCATTCTCTGCAGATTTATCATTTGGCAGTATTAATACTCTCCGGCCTGTCTTACCCAACACTATTTTTGGCGTTCAAAGCGATTTCAATTCTTATTGCCATTAACGAAGTTAGTTTGGTAGTTTGATCTAATTGAAAATTAGCAACTCTTCGGTGCTAGCATGCGATGAAACAAGAGCATAGAAAATCGAGTTCAAATTCATCTCGATAGCAATGGATGGAATATGAGTAGGTATAATACGTCCTATCACTCTGCTACTTGGCAAGCACTCTAAAAATCACAAATTTCGGATCGCGAACATATTGTTAATAGCTCTTAACATTGTGATAACTAATTTTTTTGTGATGCTTCCTAGAATTTTGGAGTCGCACCAGTCGTGAATGTCTCTGGAATAAATCATTAAAATACCAAACGAGATCAGCCCTTGAGAAAATGAATTTAACTTTCATTATTCCATCTCACTTGATAGCATCCACCAAAACTCCGTCCAAATTCGGATTTTCGGCTAGCTAAGAAAATTGCACGACGACGCTTACGTCTAGAAGTCGAAGATCCACTGCACAACCAACCTGTACTAGTGTATATTTCTATACTGATGAGAATTCAACGCCGCGATGCAAACATATTCATCTTTATCATTATGCTCATGAAACGCACACTTATCATACGAACCACCTCTAACTCTCGGATCAGCCACAGGTTTCCCTCCAAATTCTTGTGTGAATTCTAAAACTTCTTCCAAAGCGCTCTTCACGTCATTGAATATTCTCTCCAAATTAGCAGCATCTTCTGGATCCCCAAACGGAATCTCCCACGCCAACATCGCTATTGCAAATACTCGCAACTCATCACCCCATGTTGTATTCTCGTATATGTGCGCAACTTCAGAATTAGATAATGGAAATCGACCTATTCGTTCATCACCTAGCGCATCTTGTAGAGCTTTCATGGCGCAGTTCTTCAAGGTTATAGCTTGGCATTTTTGGGCGAAAATCCAGATGTTAATGATCAGCATGGGCTCTCTTAGTCCTCCTCTAAGATGCCCAGAATACATCCAATTGACGAAAATTTCGAAAATCTCTGGATCGTCCTTGGGAAGATGCATCTTGTTCTCGATACCTTCCTTGAATCTTCCATTAAAAGCCTTGTCAAAGAAGTCGCATGTTGATCTGATGAGAGTTTTATGGACGAAGAATTCTTTGAGCTCAGGACCGACGATGATTTGGACCAATTCGTTGCTAAGAAGACTGTGAATTTCTGAGTTAGCTTTGATGTATTTGGTGCAAGGTACTGTTTCTTACCTAGCAGTTAGATGTGCCATCATGTGAGGTGCTATTTTGGTATCTCTTTTTCTTGATCACCTCGTTATTGCTTCTAGTTTTAATGGTATTTTTTTTTACAAATTTGATAGGAAAAATCGCGGATCTCAAGTTATTGCGTCGAAAAGTTGGATGTGTCGAAGAATATGTAAGTGCTTGCGAATGCGAAGCCTTTTATCAATTTGGTATTGGTGCTCTGTCGTATCATAATCTACCGTATAGATCTTTAGGAAGTGAATCTGATGATACAATGTCAAATCATGTAGCGAAGACTTGTCCGTTCTCCAGTCACCTCCATTACAGTTACAATGGTCAAGTCTGATCAAGCACAAATTACTTCACCCTCACATTGCCGCCAGTATTGATAAGTCAATTTGCATTTTGATTCTGGTAATGAGGTCATTTTTGCAGGGTATATTAGGCTGCGCAACGGGTATCCGCAGGGCGGATAATAGCCTTGACAGATAATCCGCAGATAATCCATCTGTAGAGCGGATAATTCAAAATCTGGATAGGTAATCTGTAGGATGAGTACAAATTATTCACGAATATTTACCTACTTATATATTATATAACTATTTATAATCTTTTATAATATTAATATAATTTTATAATTAATATAAAAATTAATATAAATCTAAGCTTGAATTACTTTTGGGCTGGAAAATAATCTGGGAATAGCTTCATATTTTAAGCGAATCTCTACTTTTTTCGGAGAATTTATATAACGTAACTTGACTAGAAGTGGGTCATGTTATGATATGGGTCAAAATCACTCCTTTATTTCTTTATTTTATATGTTTATTCAATATACAATGAATCGAAAGTTATTAAATCGTAGTGAATCGGAAGATAATATTTAAAAGGTTATAAAAAATCTAAAAAATAAACAATTTACTTTAATTCGAAGTGCTACTATTCATTTTAAGATTCCGAAATCAACCTTGATAAATCGAATAATTGGATAATAATCATACTCTCAATCTCACAAATCCTTTCAAAAACTTTTCAATATAAAAAAAAAGACTTTAGTATAATGAATCTTATGATTAACAGCTACTAAATATCCTACAACTTTTGGATTATTGAAAGAAATGATTTAAGAAATTCTAAATCAATATGTCATTTTCACATCATCATTTACCCCTCCATCCTTTCAATCAAATCATATAGGTCAACAATAGATTTATAGATTTTTAAATTGATATCCCAAATTTAAAAAAACCTATTCTCGTAAATTGGAATCTACAAGGTATAAAGAAACCACATTTGAAACAATCTCAACATGGTTTTCAATATTTCAAATACAAATCAAAAAACAACATCATAAATTCAAGAATATATATAATATAAATAAAATAGGATATATAATTGAAGAAACAAAATCAACATATATAATCATGAATTCTACTCTCAAATCGAATTGAAAGATTACAATAGGAAAGCAAGAATGAATAACTATATTGGAATATGTGAATACAGATGGAGGCTCTTTACTCCTTATAATCATTTTCAAGGCTTAGAATACCAATACTATATAAATTCCAACTAACATTTCTCCAAACTGGTATTTCTCAACAAACAATAGTGAATAGACTTCTAATAATTATAACTTTAAATGGATATATAAGGTTTTTGAGCCAGAATCTCGAAAAATATTAGGAAATTAGTCTCGATTATTGATTATAGATAATCATTCTAGTTATATTATAGAAAGTTTGATTGCTTTCTGTATTGAGAAGGAGATTGATCTTCTTATTCTACTACCTTATTGTTCGTATCTACTTTAGCCATTGGATATTGGAGTGTATGGACTAATGAAGCAATATCATGCTCAAAAGGTTGATCGATACTCTCGAGCAGGAATACAACAAATACAACGGTCTGATTGAATACAGCTTCTTCAAAAGATAAGAGAAAAAGGTCTTACTTATTAAAATATCAAAAGCAAATAAAAAGGAACAAGTTTAAATCTATTTAATCCTTATCAAGTTCTAAATAATCTTCCAACCCCACTTTTACCACCACCTTTCATTCTAAATACACCAGCAAACTTAGAAAATCTAGATCTCTTTTTACTTAATAGCTCTCCCTTGAATGATATTGAGCTATAATAAGCAAATAAGATATTCAATTTAGCTTTATCCATTAATAATCTGCCTACTTCTTTAATATAAAGATATGCAAAGTGAATAACTCATTAGATTGAAAGCTTAAATATTGAAAATACTATTCTTCAAAAGGAACTTCAAGAATATAAAGAGTTACTTGAAATACGAAAAAAATGAAAAAATAGAAAAAGAATAAAATTAAAAGATGAATTTATATTTAGTACTGAAGAAGTATTGAAAATTATCGAGAAGGCTGAACAAATACTTTTACCAAAACGATAATATAATAGATTATTCAAGCATCAAATTGATTAGGTAGAAAGGAAAATAAAAAAGGAAAAGGATAATAACGTGATTTATCAGTGTGCGGGTCATATCAGTGTGCGAGTCATTTTCACCTCAATTCACTCTTTCAAACTCATATTATTCAACAACCATTGAATCAATTGATTAAAACTATGAAAATTATAATAATCTAGAATCTATTATATTATCTTGACAAGTTCTTGTATTATATCCAGTCTTTTTGTATTTACTACAGCATCAACTAGAAGATACTTCTTCATTAGAATTCCTCTCTTTTTAATGCTCGTTATATTGAATCTGAATATCAACCTCTTATTGAGATAATATATCAAAAGCTTTTTGCCCAATAAGTACTCCTTCTTAACATAATTGAGTTTTTTTTATACATCAACACTTGCTTAATACCTCATTTGCTTTTCGAAATATACAAATCTCTGCATTCAAAAGTGTATTCTTATAAGCTAATCTCTCTGTACCTTTAGCTAGAACTAATACAGTCTCAAATATAGGTATAAAGGAGCTTGATTGATATCAGGTTATTCAAGATTTCACTAAAATTAATTGAGAAAGAGCTTCAATTGGGTTATAAGGGGTTTAAGAAATCTATTGATTTAAATTGAAAGAGGAAGGGGTAAATATACGAATTCGAATATCTAACTTTGAAAGTACGGCTTCAAGGTTAAATGATATTAAACCTGTTCTTCGAAATCCTGATTTCATATTCTGAGAGATGATTGATTCTTTATATGCAGTTTTAAAAGCTATAAAGAATTCAACCTTCGAAATATAATTGATATGTACTTTGATAAATTCATCAATTTGATTACTATATGAATGTTTCAGATTGCTAAAATAGCCCATATTAAGTGGTTAAGTTAAATGACTTGAATGTAGTAGTAGACTTAAGTATATAATATCGTTCTCTTTGTAATATACTTGAAAAGCTTTTGATTCATGGTTTTCATACCTATCTAATATCAACATTCAATATCTGCCCTTTCTTTGGTTCTTAGTATACTTGTTGAAGTGTTTCAATTATTCTAAACCTGTCTCATTGTTTGTCCATTTATTAGATATAGATTTAATAGCCCAATCCACAGGAAAATCGGTTTCGGTATACCAATTGGAAAGATGAACCTGTCCTTGAACCACTAGAAATGGGGGTATAGTTTCACCCTTCTCATTGCCATATATGATTACTATAGCCCATTCTCTATTGCCTAGTTGTATTGCCTTACTTCTGCCATTCCGTTCAGCACTAGTTACTACCATTCCGGGGTATATTATACCCATCATAAAGCCCGTCTCATCGAAATTGTAGAAATCGCCATCCAAAATGCTGTATTTCGCTCGCATATTCGCAACCAATCGAAACCACTCTTCAATAAGCTTAGGATCTTCGCAAAAAGCTCTTTGAAAGTTATAAACATAACTAAAACGCATCTTTAATTCGATTCGATGCTTTACAAATTGATACGCCTAAAGCTTTTCAACACACTTTGTACCCCTCGATTCAAGAATATAATTCGCTATATCTTTTACATTTCTTAATTTAGATGGAAATCCTCTCAAATTTATATCAATTATATATTCAGAAATGATATTCTCTTCTAGTTCTGAAAGATTATAAGATTTAGGTCGATATTCGGAACAGGAAGTAATACTATTAATTCTACGCTGTAGTGATGTATTCAAGATATTATATATCTTTGCAACCTTTCGAATACTTGTTTTTTTGTCTTTTTAAATAGCTTCGATAACGAGGAGTATACAGGCTTCTTGATTATTCGAATCCATTATAGATTGTTGATAAAAACGCGTATTGAAAGAGAATAGAGTGAATTGAGGTGAAAATGACCCGCACACTGATAAATCACGTTAATAGTTCAGTTGAATTAGTGATAGTTGTAGATCACTTTGTAGTATGTAGGACAAGGTCAAATAGGAAAATATGATTTTTGTAATTCATATTATGATATGACCCACTTTTAGTCAAGTTACGTTATTTATAGATTATTTATAAATAATCTATAAATTATTCATATATCTATAAATAATTTATAAATAATCTATCTATTTATATAAGTTATCTATAAATTATTTACAAATAATTTATAGATTACCTATACAAAACAAATAATTTTAAAGCCTCAATAAATAATCCACAAAGCGAATAGAACCTTTAATAGATAACCCACAAAGCAGATTATCCGCAGATAATTCACAGGTACAGATAATTTGTGCGCAGCCTAGGGTGTATTATACAAACTGGGGTCTGTAATAAAAGGAAAATGGTTCAATGTAAATTGTCGCACGTAGGAATAGTCACATAATGTATAGACAATGTGCTCATATTTTCTATCTACTTGGGTTCTGCTCTATCAAGCAGACCGACCCGAAGATTAAATTTGGTTCCCAAAGCATAGTACACTCCCGTTGCCAATTATAGATGCAAACTTTCCATTCTCACTGCCTGCGATGAGTACAAGCAGATTTTGAATTTCCACCGCTAGTGCTATTCCCAAGAGCTGATATACAAAGCGACGATAGCGTCATATTTACTTAGACTAACCCCACATGGGCATTGGTTAGTTTGGTATCGAGTTACACTCTTCATCGAATTTGTGTTGGTGAAACTCAAATCCCTCTTCTTCGCATTCAGGATCGTCCGTACGATATCTAGGATCTTTATGGGTCCCCATATGTATATAAAGGAGCGTAGGTATATAATCAAGAATCTCCATCATTGCACCATCAATCTCTTTGAATATCTTTCCCATTTTCTGGGCCGAAAAATAGTTGTCGCCGTCAAGAACAGTACAAACCATCATTGCTACAGTAAAGTGTCTTAGACAATGCCTGGATTTCGTGAATTTAAAGACTGTCTCGACTTCTCGGAACGTAAGGGTATTACAGCTGTCGTTGAGAGAATCCTGAAGCGAATCCATGGCAAAGTCCATAAGCTGCACACTCTGGTACTTGTCGGCGAAGATGTAAAGCTCAATGATAGCAAGATTGCGACCGAATCCGGCCTCTTCAGTTGAGATCTGAAGGCTTCCAACCTGTACGGTATACATCCAGGTAACAAATCCCTGGAAAATATACGGCTTATCTTCAGGTAAATCCATCTTATTCTCCACCCCTTTTTAAAATCCATTGTCTTGAAGAGCTGCCTTGAAGAAATCTCTCGATCTTTAATTGAGATTCTTATGGACCGAAAACTTCTTTTTTCGGGTCCAACAAAGATATGGACAAGCTCATCTCCAAGCTCACCAGAAAAAACCATTAGTCAATGTTCATACTCATGAGTATTCTGAGTTATTGGCGAAGACAGCTTACTCTAGTCGTCCCGCCATAATTGTCTAGGGTTTTTTTCAAGTAAAAATTGATGGGTGGAAGTACCATGCAGGTTGAGTGAGTCGAGAATCCACGTAGATTTGCTTCGTGATAAATTATGTATGTATTTGACGATTAAAGAGTTGTAAAGTCTTGCGCTCTAAGACCCAGTGGCAGCGTCTTGAAGATAGGTATCAACTTCAATCACAAATATCTCGTCTGTTGTAGAAAGAGAAGTGTTTTATTTAAAGTTGGAATGAAATTCGGGTGAGCTATTGAGAGGTAAGGCGCTCGAAATTGCTTCGTTAAAGTGAATCCAAATTTTGCCCTAGGATATCGTTTGAATTCCGGCTCTCGATATCAATCATTTTCCACCATTCGATGGATAAGATGAATATGTTTGGATGCTTAGGTCTGGTTCATCTCATATTCTATATTTGACCAATATTTCAATCAGCAAGCATATTCTGATATTGAGCCTAAGACATATTGGGATGTACTTGAATACATTTCAGTAAAGTTGAATATATTTGGGGTAATATCGAGATGTCTATATCCGAATAGAAAACGGAGTAGACATCAATTTCTCTAAATAAATTGGTTGACAGCACTTCAAAAACTACTTACTATTGACTGTTCTACAGGAAAAGTCAAGACATTCAGCTATATATTAGATTCAATGTATATTAGTTTGCAAACTGTGTTCTATAAATATAACATCAGGTCTAAAATCCGTAACATACTAGGTCTAATTTCGAAAGAAACACCTTGTTAGGGTTTCATACTCATCTATATGCGAATTACTTTGTGACAGCCCATTTACATTATCCACAAGACGATTACAAGCATTGTCATTTTAGCAAAGAAAGAGAAATCACGAAATTTCCTATCTACAAGTTCAAGTTTCCTTCACAGTTCAAAAGAGAATATTGTATGTGTAAACCGATTGTGATATTAATCTATTATTATTTAGATGCCACCCTGTAGAATGAGGTCCATGTCTATCATTTATCCATATGCCATAATCATGCCCTCTTCTATCCCATCATGATCGTAATGAATGTAAGCCTCCCATATCCCACCAATACTGCCCTTGCTATCCCAAAACCAAAATTACAAAAAAAGAGTGACTGAACCAACTAATACTATGCACATGCATCCAACAGAAGGAATGTGCGAATTTCACCCTAGATCCACCATGCTCAAAACCATAAACCATAAAGACTAAAACGAAACATTAAACCCCCTTCCCCCGTCTGTACATCTCTCCGCCGTTGATCACATGTCAAACGCCATGTCTTTTATGGGAATTGTAGTTGGCAAGTGTCAGAGCCGTATGCAACGTACAAGCCATAGTTTCTAGCAACGGTGTTGTTAACACGGAATTGGTAGATATCATAGCTAAAGTTGCCTGGGTCGGATAAGTTGGCAATACCCATCAAGAACTGAGCCTGCGAAGAGCAGTCAAAGGTGCCGATGAGAGTCTCTTGGCCAGGATTCAAGGTGTTAGGCGTGAATACTTCCACAGTGGGCTCACCGTTGACAGGGAAGACATCCCAGAATGTAAGGTCACTGGAGTCGAGGGAAATAGATGGGCCAAAGACTTCGATTTGTGGGTCCAATGGACCAGTAATGGCCTCGTAGTCGTCTCTGCTTGTAGGGAAGGAAGACCAGAGCTCACAGTTTTGTGCATCAGCTGGAAGGTCAAATGATGCATAAGTGTATTGGCGCGAGGTCCATGCTGTTCCGTTCCAAGTTGCACCCATTCCGAAATAACCTTGGTCTAGATCTGAAGGATCCTGGGATATTGTGTTGTAAGCGACATGCTGAGGAGTGTTTTCCCAGATGTACTCTAGAACTCCTGGCCATACGATTGTGCAGTCATCGGAAGCGACAGTTGATGTTGCCGCGGAGGCAGAGTCACTAGTTAGTGTAGGTGCAGCAGACGCAAAGCCGATGGCGGCGATGAAAACGATCGTGGAAGCTTTGAAAAACATTGTGATGGTGGGTATTCTTTGTGTAGTAAAGTTATTCGGGTGATGTAATAGAAGAAGAGAGAATGTAAGTGGTGTTGAAGTGCGATCCTTGAAGTTGAGGAGTTGTATTGAAATGTTTGATGTTGATGATGGAAAAATTGGGATTTGAGGTAGACATGTCAAAGTATATGTACCTCGAGTCCAATATAGCACAGCACAGGAAACGAATTCACTTTCAGTAGATCCTTACCCAGCCCAGGGCTTTGTTGGAAATATTTGCTGTGTCTACCAGTGGAAGACAAACAAAATGTTGTGATCGTATTCATTGTTTGCTGCGCGATGCGTGCTTGCGTGGCTAGGAGAATAGCCATGGCAGTGAATAATGCCACCAAAAGCTTTTGCAATATGATGAACGAGCATAAGAAATCTATTTCAAGAATCAGATATGGCCAGATGAGTGGCTGGAGAAAGTGGATCAATGGATACAATTGAATTAACCACCTGGGCATGCCACACTGTGAGGCGCGACTGACACCTTTTCAAGAGATTATACACCGCCAACCACCTCAACGGAGATCGAATCTCACGTGAGGCTGTGCGTTCTAGAGCAGTATCTCCTAGAGAGCACTGTAACATGCAGTAGAAACATAGTAAGACTTCAAATAGTTGTTTGTCTATTATGTCAAGGCTTCAGGGCTTCGGGGAAATCTAGGGTATGCTGCTTTACTAAGGCTTACATCGACGGATTTTGGTTGCACCCGGGTTGAATCCCCGCCTCCAAATTTGCATGCAATTGTCTACTGACAACACTCTTTCTTCTAGGAACGACTGTTGAAAAGCATCCCCGAAATAGCATTTCTTAAAGTCTGTGACTCGTGAAAATGTATGAGTGGGGTCTATATCTCCCCGGTACAGCATGCCAGAACTTCTGCTCGAGAAGACTACGCCGCCTGCGCCATTATCCAACCACAGCCAACACAACCAATATTTTCATGGGTGAAACCTTTGAATAATACCAGCACAGCATTGTAAGCCTTGATACTAATCGGGCTTCTCGTTCTGTTGCACTATTCAAAGACCACTCGATCGTTGAAACCCTTTGAGAAGCTAATAAGCTCGTATCTGAGCAAACATCATAGTTTCACAAGGGACTAGACGTGGTAGACATCTAGTAGTCAACTGCTTAAACTTTCAAATGCTTAGAAGTTATCCCAATATTTACCTATCTAGCTATGTGTACGATAGAATAGACGTGAAAGGAGCGCTTTTAGTTTGAAGTCATTCAATCAACCGAGGTAGTTTTGAGGAACGTTTCGAATCCGGGGGTTTAGCGTCCGATCCACGCTAAATTGCGGGACATTCCGCATTCTCATCGGCGTCCGTCCGACCACTTTTATATCCATCATTCATTCCTTGGATAGGATTGATTACTGTACTTATCATTATAAATATTTGATATCATTCGCTTTGGCAATCATGGGATCAATCAGTGGTAATGTGAATACACGTCCTGATTCAAAGGAAATTCGAGTCTTGGTCACAGGCTTTGGTGTGGGTTATCCTGACATTACACCCCGCTTTACCCCTCAATCGTGGAGTTGTTCAATCAATGTTGAACTGCCCGAAGCCTCAAAGAACCTAAGTGCTGACTGTGGCTTCCATCAGCCTTTTCGCGCGCAGTTTCCCATAAATCCATCATGGGAAATAGCATCTCGTCTACCACCTTACGTTCCTACAAATGTAAAAGATGAAGGGCATCATCCGCATGCACGACCGCCAATAAACAAGACCACGCCACGCATTAAGATTGAAACCTATGGAGCGCCAGTTCATGTAGGATACAAGGCTGTTCGGGAACTTGTGCCCGTACTTCTTGATGACACCAAGCCTGATTATATACTACATATTGGAATGGCATCTGGTCGATCCTTTTACAGTTGTGAGCGACGGGGTCATCGAGATGGATATTTCATGAAAGATGTCGATGGAAAAGTATTGAACGATGAACATAATAAGATTCAGGAGGGTGATGACTGGGTGTGGCATGATTGTCCTGGGGAACTTTTGACGAGTTTGCCATTTGACAAAATGTTTCGTCAATGGAAGGAAGCTTGTCCTGTTCGTATTGACTTTTCTATCCATTTCATCAATAACATTACCTCGGTTTCCTTCATACTTCCCAGCCCGTTACTAAACATATGCATATAGGAAGTCGATACACGCATTTCCGAAGATGCGGGTAACTACCTCTGCGATTTTATCTACTACACCTCTCTCGCACACCGTCACAAGCATCAACAACCAAATAAGACCATGTTTCTGCATGTACCCGTCGATGCTGATCCCGAGTCTGTATTGAAAGGTGTTGAAATTACGACTGAGCTGATTCGGGCAATGGTTGAATGTGATCTCAAAACTCAAGCCAATGTCGGGGACAATATAAATACCGCGGAGGAGAAAGTTGATCTGTGAATACTTCATATATAACAGGTGAAATTGTATATACATTGACTTAGTAGAGTGGCATTAGTGAACATATTGCAGGATGAATATAACGGGAATAACATCTTGAATAGTGTTGATAGCATTGCTAGTTTGGAGGGCATAACAACGTTAGTACATCGAGGGACATAAGAATTATTTTTAAAAATACGAAAAGAGAAAACACAATAGTTAAATACAAACTCAAATTCAGCATTCAGTGTTTACTGTGATATTCAACGGGAAATTGCTGAACAGAGTGTGCATCAAACATTTCTAAATCTCGACTCGCGTATTACATTCCGATGAAGGGGCGAGTTCGACGCGACGCCAAATGTCCTCCAATTACCTTTGTTGACGGCGGCAGCACAGATGAAATGTACGTTTAGGCATTGAGGTTTTTGGCACAGGCTCTCGCATATAACGAGGCATTCTTGGTGAGTGGAACATATACATTTATTCTCCTTTTAAATCCCCATTTCAGTAGATTATTCATATCTTCATACCCCGTCATTACCCCATTATTATCATCATCCAATATACCCATGATTCCCCACCATCTAAGCATATCCAACCGGACTTTTACATCCAAAACTAGTTGCATGACCTAATTTAAAACTGTCCTTAATATTTTTAATACTGGTATACATACCCAGGACAGCAGTCGCGGCGCTTGCCAAGAAAAACAAGAAGCAGAAGACCTTCAACCACCATCTTGGGATGAGACCTCTCTTCCATCTGCTCACATCTTTCCAGGTATCGATTCTGTTTATGGTTCCGGTAGCAGGATCGAATTTTTCATCTGGATGCTTGGCATCTTCTTTGATGGTCATACCAAAGTAGAGAAGTGTGGGGAAGGTATATGTGAATTGCATGATACAGACGGCAGCAACGAGCGAAGAGATATTGGTGAATTGAGGAACTGCAGATCCGAGAACAAATGCAAATGCCCAGTACAAAGGTACGATGGCAATCCAAATGAGTTTTCCTTTCTTGGTGGTGAGATCTGGACCACCGAAAAGATCCTCAACAATGTTTTGGTAGATGACCTTGATACCGATGTTACCATATAGGACGGCAGCGATGAGACCGGAAACCAGGTTGATTGCGTTAGTGACGGTTTGCCACGAGTAAGGTGAGAGTCCTTGGTTGGCTGGGTTGTAGGTGAATTGACCTTGCTGCGAGTAAACGACGAGACCGAAGATGAGGTAGCAAACGAAAATGAATATTTCAGCTAAGAATTGCGCCTTGATGAAGTCGAGTGGTCGTTTCATTTCGGCCATGAATTCACAATACAACATTGCGCCACCATAAGCATAGACGATTTGCATAGCAGAGCTCAATTGCGAATCGAAAGTTGAGCCGGAAGGAATCCAAACAGTATGCTTGATAGGAGCTTTCGCGATACCAAAAGATGCTAACACGGCGTCATAATTTGGAGGACTGTGTGCTGCCACCCCCATGGTCATGAAAATGACAAGAATGTTCAACCAAATGGCGAAATTGGCGAGATATCCAAACTTCTGCAGAGATCGGATTTGACCCAAGACCATACCAGCGAGTGCCCAGACCACGATACAGACGGAAAAGCAGAGCTTGTATTTGGACATTTGCGACAGCGCTTGACCGTTAGAGATGACGATAACACCAACATTGAATAAAAGTTGGATACTTTGCAGAAGATTGATACCATGGCGAGAATAAGTTCCGAAACTGTTAAAGTTAGCTGTGTGCCCGTAGAATTCGTGATGGCCGTGGTATCCTTACATTCTGAATCCCAAGTCACCAAACGTCCTCATTGGATACCTGTCACTGTCGAGCTTCAAAAACATGCGCCAAATTTGCCATCCAGCGAAGAAAGCCATGATACCCATGAAGAAATACATCATTACACCTCCAACATATCCGAATTGTGAAACGGCGTATGGTGCGTTAGATGGCCCCAAAATATCGGTGGTGATAAGGTATACACTGTTTAATCGTCAGATCCATCGTAGCTTTATTCAAAAGGAAAACTTACACAGCTCCCCATGTAGCGTTTCTTGCTGCTCGGGATGCGGTTTCCCATTCCCCAGCTCCAACGTGCGAAGGATGAGGGGCTTTGGTAATGGAACTAGGTTTTGATTCGTCGACTGGCTGAGGTTCGGTCTTTTCATCCTCAATTGCTGGAAGAGCATGCTTCTCGTTACCGATTTCCTTTCCGGCAACATGGTCTACTCCGGCAAGATACTCCTGGTACATTCGCTCCCGTTCCTCTGGGCCAAGTCCATTCTTCTCCTGTTCCCGCTGAATCTCTGCATAGTACAAGTATGCCTCAAAAGGGACATTTGGATCATGCAAGTTGCGACGAACAGATGTTGGTACGTTCACCTCACCTACTCCGTCAATGCGAGGATCGCCGCCATCAAGGGCAAGATTTCCTAGATTGTTGGCCATGACTGATATCTGTAGGAGACTGACTGAAGGGACCACATCGAAACATTTTGGGAATCAAAGCGATATATGAAGGATTGTCAATTTCCTCCGGTGGATTCATCACATGGCTTCAGCATGGTTACCCGTGTAATCCGAGGTCCTTAATGTGGAAGTCGTTAAAGGGTGGTGGAGACGCGTATAGACGACCCACCAAAAACCTTAAGTATGGAAGCAGAGAAAGCAGCATCACTGGATAAAATCAAGATCAACAACCCACTTCACCGTATCTCTGACCCGATGGAATCGTTAACTCTCCACATTGATCCTATGATTCCTATCAGATATAGTTTGATGTGAGATTGTGCTAACGACGTATCAAAATTGGGGAACCTCGATGAAAGAGGAAGGTGGTCGAAATCGAATGCATCACCTGAAAATTGCAATACGAATAACTTTCATTCGCAACTCTTGTTTATGTATGTAGGGTCGTCAACACAAGCTTTGGGGCGTCTGCGGAAAGACGGAAAGCTCTTCAAGCATTCGCCAAGGCAGTCGTCACTTGACGATGCCATCAATCTGGGAATTATTTTGATTCGATTTCTTCTCAGACGAGCCATTTTTTGGCCATCGTCAAGGATCGGAACTGGCCATAATGAGGGGGGCAGTCCGTGCTATGTTTCCACTTCCAGTGCAAGCCCGAAATTGAGTCGTGTGAGAGAAAAAAATTTGCTTCGGAGCGAGCCGAAGTTCGAAAGTGATATATATCTACAGAGTAGATATGATGATGAAATTAGAAAGAAACAATGCTCTAAAATGCGTTGCCTGGTGTTATTGAAAACGGAAAGACTCCAACATGAGTTTTACTTACTGTGAAATTTTGCATATATTTGATCTCTAGGCAATTCTTACGGTAATATCTCCAGGTTCGCCAGAGGATACCTTAACCGCTGGGAGAACGATCATCTGGCTACAATTATCAATCACGACGAAAACCCGAGCACCTTCTTCAACCAGAGTAGCGTGTTCTGTCCCGCCTTGAATACCTAGATAGATAAGAGTGGATTCAGTGAAGTCACCCTAAAAATCAATTGACCGTTTTCAGGTACCGGGCCAAAGTTTGCGGATTGGGGCCCGCACAGTGAAGTTTCTCGTACGCAGTGGAGTCCTGGCCAACTAGCGTAGAGGCCGAGACAGGCAATTGATTCGCTATCAACAGCATCGAGTCAACGCCCTTCCAGTCACAGGAAGGGCGACGTGCTTGTTACACATGTACGGATCAAAGGAAGAGAATGGATACTGATCTAGTCGATATAGTCCTGTAAGAGACTGGAAGTTTACGAGCCTACGAGGGATTTAACCCAATGCCAAGCTCAGTTGTAGTGTGTGACAGTTCAACACGGGAAGTCTTATTACTGCAACAAAAGACAAAGAACAACACTGATGGCTGTCGCTAGGAATTTTGAGATTCATGAGACGTTGCCGCCAAATTGTAAGAAATTTCTTCGCGTGGCACGCGTGTGGCTAGTGATGATGTCTAATGGCCCACTTAAAACATGCAGATACCCAGTTTGGAGGCTGGGAAAGGCCGTACCGGTAAGCATTCCCCCTATCCAGCCCTTCCAATGACCAAGGGATCTGACTAATGTTGGGTATGCAAAATCGTTTTATCAATCACAATCGTTTTGATTACTATTATTCAAGAAGCTTGAAGCTTGAAGCTTGAAGCACCTTATTCTGCATACCATTTGTTACAATTATATGATTTGATCTCAGTCAAATATTCGATATTTGTAGATCGTGCCCTAAGATCTTTGCATTTGTTACCTGTGATACTTTTCATGTCAGTACTAAAAGAGTGTTCCAGGCACAGTCCGAGACGGAAACCTATTTTGAGCCTGTTCAGGAAAGAACTTCTATCATGAATCTTTTGAACAGTTGTTGGCGGCACTTGAACGCTCTCTGATCAAGTGCACAATAAGTCAGCACTATTTATACGAAGCTCCTCCTGAACAAACACCAAGCACGTTCTTTGCATGAGAGATAAGATGCTATCAACATTTCAATTATCTCCTCACTTCAAAATTTTCGTTTAAAGGAACGGGGGAGCATTCAACCGCCTCATTGAATTGTCAGGTGTCAAGATTGAGATTGTCTCATCGAAAAAGGTCCTAACATAATAGTAACTCAATGACCGGACGCTCGGCTCTCTCTTGTGCTTCAAATTATGACGAGATCTGATCCGGGAACCTCTTCAATTCTTCACCTGAATGCTGATACCCGTTGACACAATGGGGGTATTTCGGTATGTAACAAAGTACAAACTTACCACCAAGACATCTTCCTGATTGGTAGGTATATGGTTGTTCAATCATTGTTTCATTGTTTCAACTTCCTTATCACTTGGTTTATAGATGACAAGTAGCTCATTGTGCGTGCTGAGAAGTACTCTTACATGTACACCATTTATGTTGGGTTTGAGCACTGCCTCTGGTCAGCTTAGACCATTTTCGCCCAATATTCGAGTTTGAAACCCTACATACCACACTATATAACACGACGGTGGAGAGAAACAAGACTGCTCTACTATTTTGTCAAGCTAGGAGCGAATTACTGGTAGAACAGTTCCTTTTCTGGTCTGCTGCGGCTTACAGCGAATTGCACTTTGTAATTGGTTATTTCCGGTACATCAAATTCTGAAAATGGCTGGCTGATAATCTTTCCTTTGCCCTGAAAGTTCAGACAGGATTTGAAGCACACAACAGAACATTTCGTTTTAGGACTTTTCTGTGATGTTAAGATGAGAAGTTATGAACACTGAAGCTACTTTTGACTACGACGTTAGGAAGAGCAAGGCACCTGAATCAGAAATTAAGAGGGTTGAAGATGAAGGAGATGAAACTCAGAACGATTCGGAGAGTGAAGATGAGGGAGTAATTGAGGAGGGCGACAATTCAGAAGCTGGGAACGGTGAGAAAAAGGAAGACGATAATGATGGTGAAGACGGAATAAGGGAGACGAGTAAACCTAGGAATGGCTCGGATAGTGAGAGCAATGAAAATGATGGGGGGAGTGAAGATACCATTCAAGATATTGAAAGAGATGTCCATGGCGTCGACAATGAGGAAAATCGAGCGGTGGATGACATCGACAAGAGCGATGAAGAGGAAGTCAAGGTGGGAGGCGGAAATAATGGAGATGATGTGGGAACGGCTCACAGATGGATAATGTTCACCAAGACCACAAAGAAGGCAATGATGCCCAGGAAGGATATTTAGGAGATGACAACAACATGGAGGGAAGCGACCAAGGGACCCAACAAGCAGATAATGAACAGGGGAATGAACAAGATGGGAAGGATTATTAGATTCAAAATGATGATAAAGGTGATGATCACGAAGTCGATCCAGAAGATGGAGACATCGAACATTTAAACGATCAAGAGCCAGACGTTCCGGAGACAAAGAGTACAGAAGCCGACGAACAAGATGATGCAAATGAAGGCGAAGAGAATGATGATACTCGAGAAGAAGACTCGGGTGAGGGCTGTGAAGAGCAGGAAGATTCTAGGGAAACCAACGAGTAAAGGGGGATGATTCAGAAGGCAGAGCGCAGGATGATCAAACTCAAGACAACAATGGGCAAAACGATTTGGAGGAGGGAGAAAAAGAAGGCGATCAAATAGGTGAAGAAGAGAATAACGGAAACGAAAATCAATGGACAACTGGTGAAGAAGGCCAAGATGGTGATGACGGGAAAATTGATCAAAAAGGGGAAGGGGATGACAGTGAGGGTGAATATGGGGATAGTAATGATCCAGAGGGCCAAGTAGAAAGCAATCAAGAAGGGATTCCAGCTGAAGATAATCAGGATGACGATAAGGCCGAGATGGGCCAAGAGGGCGATGGTTTGGATGATCAAGAGAGAAATGAAAGAGAAAAAGAGAATGAAAATCCTCAAGACAATCAAGAAGATGGTAATCAGGGTAATAACGATGGTGAAACTGATCAAGACCCAAATGAAACACAAGGGAATGATGCAGATGATGATGAAACGGAGGGAGATCAGGCAGAAGCAGATGATAAAGAGGCGTTGAGCGACTGAGATAGAGAAGGGGATGACTCGAAAAACAAAGATGGTGACCAGGATAAGTAAGAAGAAAACGATACTAGTGATACTGGAGCGGGAGACAAAGGAGAAGATGACAAAAAACTAAGGAGATGATCAAGAAGGGAAAATCAAGGGGGCAATGGTCAGGGAGGAGATAATCATGATGGAAACGAGGGTAGAAATGGTGAGGAGAATGCCGATGGAGAAGACGGTGGTGATTAACATGTTTAAGAAGGGAATGGTGGTGGGAATGATGATGGTGAGAGCAATGACGGTGATGAAAGTGACGAAGGTGAAGAAGATCAAGTACCTTCCAAATTGTAAGGCACGATCCGGTTGTGATTCATTGCTGAAGTTTCTCTCTCTTTAGTTTCCTTGCGATATCAATAGTTTTGAATAGTTAAGCAAATAACAGTGATAATTTTGTTTTGTATCTTTTTTGAGAACGATATTAGTATTCGGATTCGAAAGGTCCTGGAATCATCTTCATTTTCAAACCATCAAGAACGCGAATCATCTTCATATTCCATGAAAAAAAGACTTTTGTATTTCCACTAACTACCTACGCGTCTGTATACAGAAACCAAAAATGAGCGTGTTGAATTCCATCCCTTTGAAACCAGGTCACCCGTTTCCAGAGAGTTACCTTGCCATTTACTTAGCATCAAAATACCATTTCTGATTATCCTCATTCTTTGAAGTTGCAGAGAGAATATCGGCTCCACTTTGGGTGCTAAAGTCCTTTACGGAAAGTTGGCCACGGCTGGCAATCTTGTTGTTGATACTGTGAATTCGATGTCAGTTATCTTGACTATTGACTTGCTCGGGGTGATTGAGATTGTAGATTGATACTCACGTGAAGACTTGGTAGCCATTGGTTGTTGAGGCCTTGATCGTCCAGTGGGCAGACTGATCAGTTGGGGAGATTTGAGGAGTAGAGACGATCTTGTTGTCGCCTTCATTTAATGATTGGGTTAGCATGTGAATCAATCTCTGAAGCTGATTGATATGACACTTACCGGTCGCGGTAAGGAAGAAACCACTGCGAACATTGATGATCAAATACTCAGCACTGTCGCCAGAGCCAGCAACGAGTGCAACCTGCCATTTGGCGTTGTCGCTTGGTGTGTCACCACGAGCGCTGCAATTCCCAGTAAAATTAGTTATTGTCGCCTGCAATGTATCAAGGGGGTTTGCAGATAAACTTACTATGTTCTGACAACCGCTCCAGGTGTGAGCAGGCCATCCCAGGCATTGAGGTCAAGAGTTGGAGCCTGGTATGGTACAATCTCGTAGGTACCGACGCCGTTGAAAACCATTTTGATTGATGATATGTAAGTTGCTAGAGAAAGTTGATCTGAGTAATGATTGTTGCTGTGAGAGATAAATGAGCAGTGGGGAATATAAATCAGATCTTGATCTGGATATGCTTGACTTTTATATTCATATCCTTGACTTTTGACGGCTATAATAGTGCGGAGTCCTTCACTTTCTGTGTTTCGGTGGCTAGCTGGGCCATAGCTAGTGGTTGCCATCGTGAGAGACGCAAACCCTTGAGTGATACATCAATAGATTCTTCATTGGAATGGCTTGACGGTTGTGTCATGATCTATCACATATTGATATAATCAATCACAGGACGGCATGCCCGAAAGGCTTTCTGGCATAGCCAAGTACGTTATGGAAACATGCTCAAGCACTTTCGCGCGAAATTACCCAATCATGATGCCATATCACATCAACAAATTCAGCTCAGGATCACAGCCAAATTCCAGCGATTACATTAATCCACCAAGATCATGGTCCTTGGCAGAGGGATAATTTGATACCCAGCGTTTAGCGATGTTACATGGATGCGGGGTATTTGAAGAGGCGTAGCTGGAACTTTCATTTGAACCATCTTCAATGAGTGGGGTCGTCTAAGATCCGTCAATCGCGGTATCGAATTGCTGTGCGTGAGCTGTATGCGCTTTCGCCACGAGTTTGTAAATATTTTATCACCGTGGGGTAGATTGAAGCTGAAAATACACGTCTCGGATCACGACTTTCATGAACAAACGCCCAATTGCGCCTCATTCTCGTATTCACAGATGAATTTGCCCGTAGGAAGAACAGATAGAGTCATAGCAGAAAGACAGACCAAAGACTAACACAAGTAATCGTTCAGATCATGTTTAGCCCAAGAGATGATTCTGATCAGTTTCGCATGCGGAGAGCATACTGCGGCAGGCTGGCTCGTGGAAGCCTCGACTTATCATCAAACATGCGTTGAAAATGTCTATGCTGTGTAGCTGATAGCTGTGGGACTACAGCCATGCAGTGATACAGTGGGAGTGCCGACTTTGGGAGTATATGTGCAACGTAATACACGAAAAGCTCTTGCCGTACTGACGACTCCCATCCATCTAGATGTAGCAGAAAGATCCCACCAAACTTCAGACTTTCACTGTTGCACTCGTTAGAGCTCACCGTAAAGTGCACTATTATATCGAACGCCTCAATATTCCACTCCTCTTGAACCACCCAAGACTTTCCCAAACGATACAACTGTTCTTAGCGGACGCCATTTGGTACTTTTCAGAGTCTGTGGAATTTTGAAAGAGTGCAGACTGATAGTTTAGGTAATATAATATTGTTTTGGGTTGCATGCAGAGCACAGCCAGGATGTGAGGTTAACTAGCTAACCATCTATTCCTGATACGTCGCTGTATGCAGCTTTGAATGCGAATGAAAATTATTTAGGTTAATGAAATGTTGCTCATCTTGACTGGAGGTTACATTGCGATCAATGAGAAATATAGCATAAAGAGGATCAGAAAGCGTTAAGACGTTAGCGCGCTTGTCGTGATGACAATTTATGGCCGACTGTAACCGTATGGAAAATAGTGCGACCTGTCTTGATGGATTTGTCTCGGAATTGCGGGGAAATGTTTCGTGTCACAAAAGATTTGCCAATGATGATGACCTTTTATGGAAAGGAAAAGACTAAAAAATTGTGCTGAACTCGCAGCAGATCTTGTCGATGGAGTGTGTCTAATAGCTATGAGTCGCCCTTTTCGACACAATAAACCAATTCACAAGCATTCATGCCGTAGACTCTTTCTCCCGATAATGTAACATGTGTATAGAAAATGATTTGAGGTATATCAGAAGGAAGAGCAGTCGTGAAACAGTATCGATTTTGTGGATATTGTCAGGATGTAGAAGAAACATTGGGCTCTTCTTAAAAAGGAAGTACCAGCCAGTTGTTTCATAGTATAACCAAATGTCAATCGAGAACCTCCATAGCTACTGTCTTGGACGTGAAGTATGGATTTGGAATATGAGATCTGAGCATGATGAAATCGCAATATCGGATTTGATAATGTGTGCCCAAGACCATTAACATTCGTGTTTGCTGTAGATATTCCTCAATGACACCACTCATGGACCCCTTCATGTCGACACTTGTCAGTTTAGCATAATAGGAAGCACACATGGATGAAGTGAAATAGGATCCATCTAATATCTCAATTCTTAACCTGGGGAGGCGAACTACAGCCCCAAAAGCCCTCCGTATTGATGAATTCCGAAAAGTCGCCGTCAAAGAAAGAGGCATCAAATCCTGTGCTTCATTAAAATATGGAATACACTTGAGCTCTGTTTGACTTTGCACAGATGAGCAGAGGACAAAGCAAATAAAAATATCTAAATGTATCCGCCATACGTTCTTCTCGTGTACGTTTGTGAAAAGAGGGCAACAAACTGACTCGCCTCCTCGCTCCCTAATAATTGTATTCTTCTTATCTTATCTCTCCCATCCGAATCAATGTTTCCGTACGAAAAACAGTCGTCTTGCCACTTTTACGACCCTTTCACCGTGTCAAAATAACAAGTCTGTCATTGAAAGTCATTTAAAGTCGTCCTTCATACCATTGACATGATCCCACAATCTTAGCCAAACCTTCCTTCCGATTCTAACTTACGTACTGAGATACCTATCACTCACCTATACTCGAAAAAGAAATTCGAGGTCTTCGAAAATAAAAGCAGCACCCCTTTCCCCTACTCGTTTCGCCCCCACGCAAATTTTTCACCATCCACACAAGCAAAACTTCAATTTATCACCACTCCCTCAGTTCTTAACTACATTGAATGATTGTTGGATCAAAATGATGCTCTTGAGCAGGGCAAAAGATAGTGATCACTACGAGGGTCGAACTCGCGACCTTGGCGTTTGGGAGTCTGATGTGATTCAGAATCTATTAGCACCACGCTCTAACCAACTGAGCTAAGCGACCGATTGTGGTTATTTGATGGAAGACAATTACTCACAATTGTATATATATTCATATTATCACAAGCTTATGACAGAAAAGTGTGGAGAGGGATTGCATGTCCCGAACCGAGCCAGGCTACTAGTAGTGGGGCTATGGCTAACTTACCATTCCGAAGGGCGACTGGGCGGGTTGCTTTTGTAAAGAATCTAAGTACTCAGAAGTGGTTTGTTGAGTGGATGAGTCTATATGTAGGACACAACTAAGGAATTTGACTCTTTGAACTAGGAACACACAATCTATCAAACCGCAATTGTGCAAGTGACCTATCATAATAACATACTGAGATTAGAAGCCGAGGTTACACATGCCCATACTCCTTCGGGTGATGGTGTTAGAAAACATTGATATCTATATTAGAGCTTATAAGACGTTAGAAAGTTGAAACTAGATTAAGGACATCGCGAGCTCGAGATGAAATTATAGAAATGAAAGCAAGACCCTAATGCATCCAATTACTTCACAGGCTCATGGCATTGTCAGGTTGCCATGTTCCCAGAACTGAGCAATCTCACCAGCTTGTCGGAAACCTAACTTTCGCGACAGAGTAACAATAAGTGAGACACAGAAGTCAATTCAAACGCACCAGGAGATCTATCTAAATGATGAAGATAGAGGATATAGATGCTTTGGGGTTTAATCAATGGGTCTTAGTTGGAATGGGTGTCATCGCGACAG